GACCCCCCGCCCCCCGGAAGTTGGCAGCTCTACATAAGGAGAGCTCTGCTGGATCAGATCAGTGGTCCAGTATCCTCTTTCACACATTGACCTGGAGGGCCAAGAAATTGCATGGATGCCAAGATCTTCTCCAGACATTGCCTCCTCTTACTGGTATACAGAGGTTTACTGCCTCTAAATGTGGAGGTAGCCATTAGTAAACCATGGATCTGTCTAATCCCCTTTTAATATGATCATCCTTTATGAGATGGGCGATTTTACTGGCTAGTCTCTTGTGATGTGACGTATCTATATGTCTAACAGCAACACGTGGTGGCCCCCATCTGCAGATACCTAAATTTACGGATTGAGGCCACACTTGACTCTAAATAGATTTTCCTGTAGACTTCAGGTTACCAGAAAAATCTGAAATAAAAAATGAAATATATAGGGGGGTGAAATCTCCCCCCAGTACAATTGCATTGTTTGTGCATGAGCAAACAACATACTTATCTTAGCAGAGCTGATGATGTCAGACTCCGGGAGCCACTGCAGGCCTGGTTTCAGGCAGATACTCTAGGCCTGGCTGTGGCAGTAGACGCAGGCTTGGAACAACTCCCAGGCACTGCTGCTATTGCCACTGGGTTCAAAGGTGGGTGGGGAGGTCTACACCAGGATTGGCAGTGGGGTGGAATGGGACTACCCCCTGTGGCCTGGCTGCTGTCATGGGCACTGTGGCTCCCAAGGTAGGAAAATAGAACGGAGGATTGTCTGAGGGAGGAAGAACAGAAAGATAACGAAGAGGGATTGTCTGAGGGAGGTGAGAGAGAAAGAGAAAGAAAGGGGGGATGGTCTGAGGGAGGGGAAGAGAAAGGAGAGGGAGGAGTTTGTCTGGGAGGAGAGAAAGAGGGGGCAGATTGAGAAAGGGTGGAGGAAAGAGGGGGGACATTGTCTGAGAAGGTTTGGTCTGAGAGGGGGGAGATTGGCATAGAAGGGATGAGGGGAGAACAGAGGTAAGGCAGGATTGCTAGAGAAGGGGTGGGGGAGAAGGGGGTGAAGGAAGATTGATAGATAAGGGGTGAAGGCAGAAAGAAAGAGGGGGAAACTTTGACAGAGAAAGGGGGAGAGGGAAGGAAGCAAAGGCGGGGGAATGCCCATTCCCAGCAAGTGTCTTGCAGATCCCCACTTGTCGGTATATAAGATGTGATAGTACCTAGTGCAGATATTGTATATCTCAGCATCAATATGTTTACATTTTTGAACCAAAGATCATTATACATATATATGAGTCTATCTACCATTTGGTGTGCTCTATGGTTTGTGGATTACTCTTCATCTCATCAGCTGCAGGCAGCCACTGATAGGGCAAAACCATAGCTCTTATCTGTCTGATGGTACCTCATCAATTTATAGATAGGGACTCTGGGGCAAGTGATACTCTGTCATCTTGGTGCATGGGGGGGTCAACAGTGGGAGGGCTTCTAATGTCCTGGCCCCACTGGTGGACCTCCTGATGGCACTGGTATTTCTGGCCACTGTGTGGTACAGAGTGTTGGACTAGATGGGCCTTTGGCCCGATCCAACATTGACATCTCTTATGTTCTTATGTTCTTATGAACGAAGCAGCAGATGAAAACTTAGCATGGTCAAATTGTTATGTACATATTTAACAAATCATGTTAAAATTTTGTTGCTATTTTTTTTTTTTTTAGAGAAGAAGTGACCATTGTGATTGTGCCATCTCTCTCTCCCGGTTTAGGTGGAAAATGTCCGCTTAATTGATGGAGCGTCTTCCAAACGGGCGGCGTTAGGAACTCTGTATCTAACTGCTACTCATGTAATCTTTGTGGAAAACGAATCTGATGCTCGTAAAGAGACATGGGTATGACAATTTACATTGTACGTTACAGATATCTGATTTATTTGTATACCTTATGTGGAGAAATGCCTTTCAGCCTTGGCTAATGAAACTATTGGGATAGATCGTGTTCCTATTCTTTTCAAGGGCTTTGAGCAGCTTTTTGCATGAATCCTTCTGCTCAGAATGTCCCCCTTTGTTCATAATTAAGGCAGAAACTGTTAGGGAGAGAGGTGTGGTTTTGCTTATGTGTAAGAGTTCATTGGTAAAAGAATTGCTGGATGAGAGCAAATGAATTTGTGATTCATATTTGTTCTTTTTGGACTGAAAGATTATGAGTTTATGCTCCCCATATTAGGTACTGATTAACAGGTTAGATGTCTCTTGATTCGGACAGCATAAGAGGAGTGGATCAGAACAGTGATTGATCTAGTCCAATATCCTGTTATACACAGTGGCCAACCAGTTGCCCTGGAGAGTCAATGAACAGGATATAAAGCCCAAGACCTTCTCCTGATCTTGCCTCCTAGCACTGGTATACAGAGGTTTACTGCCTCTGAATATGGATGTTTCCTTTAGGCACCATGGCTTGGAACATTTGATGGACTGATATGTGAAGCCAAGAGTAGGCCTGACAGCACCCGGTGGGTTTCTTAGGCTACAATTGTAAGAATATTTCCCTGGGACTAAGTCCTTTTGGTTAATAAACCAGCTTTAAGCCATGGTTTTCAGATTCTGGTCTGATGTGCTCTAGCTAACCATCATTAGTGGAGTGTCTCTCATTTCGACGATCACAGCAGCCATAGTTAATGTAATTAAATATAGTTTTGCATGATGTCTTAACCAAGCCAGTGTATAGTCCAGCTCTGTCCCACAGATTTCTGCTGATTCTTCACCTTGAAAGTGTACAGGTTGCTTCAAGAGGGCATGCTTAAGAGACTGAATATGCTCATAAAAAATTGAATCCTGTCTGAAATTGCCTTCCCATGAAAATCACACCCCGTGTTAAAGCTTACTACCTTGGAGAGAGCTTGAACTCCAATGTACCTTGTGGAAATGGAGTGAACATATAGTGCAGTTCCCCATTATAAGGGACTTTAAAGGGAACTTACCACAACTACGACTCAGGACTGAGCTGCTATTATGTTTTGAAATAAACCAGCTGTACTTGTAATAAAGCTTTACTCCCTCTGTATTACATTGAACTTTATATCCAGTGGTACACATCGTACAGCTGGAATGAATTATATCATAGCATATTCTTTATTGCTGTTCAGCTTGATACCCTGGTTTCCCTTTTCAGGTTCTTCACAGTCAAATCTCCTCTATTGAGAAGCAAGCTACGGCTGCTACTGGTTGCCCTTTGCTGATTCGCTGCAAGAACTTCCAGAACATTCAGTTTATTATGCCTCAGGAAAGGGACTGTCATGATGTTTACATATCTCTAATACGTCTGGCCCGCCCAGGTATGTAATGCAAGCTCAGCAGATGCACTAGCGGCCAGTTTATCCCAACTGAATGCCCTCTCACTGATATGGACCTCCTGCCCTGTCAGGATGAGAATCTGACTTTAAATAAAGCAGAGCTATTTTTCCATAGCAGAGACAGCAACCCTCTGAATGCCAGTGCTGGTGGTGGTGGGGGGGCAATGGCAGGGGGAGGCTTCGTCTTCCCTGCTTGTAGACCTTCTGGTTGTCCAGTGTTAAACAAGAACCTGAACTAGAGGGACCATTGATCTAATCCCGCATAGTCACTCTTATATTTTTATGCACATTCTTTTTAACAGACTTTATCCTATCCAATTGTTCTCTGGTTTTTCCATGCTGGAGTTCTGCTCCAACTCATCTTCTTAACTACATTGTCGCTGGCCCTCTCTTATGCACAGTTTTGGGGTTTTGTCCCCAGTTGTTGTTAGTGGAAAGTGCTGTCAAGTCACAGCTGACTTATGGCGACCTTGTAGGGTTTTCAAGGTAAGAGATGTTTCAGAGGGGGTTTGCCGTTGCCTGGCTTCATATCTCAACCCTGGTATTTCTTGGAGGTCTCCAAATACTAGCCAGGGTCGACCCTGCTTAGCTTCTGATGAGATCGGGCTACTGCAGTTCTCTTATGTCCGCGCTGCCCATTGAACACCGTTGCCTCCCTTGTGGTTTCCACTCATTATTTTTCTCACCTCTCTCCATTATTATATTTCCTCCTTTGGGTTACTTTCCCTTTTCATGTTGACTTCAATTGAGTTAGAAGGATGTCACTCTGCTTACGACTGCGCTGTCATTGGCTTAGATCCAGTGGGCAAAGCTCTGTTTGTGCAAAAGGACTTTCCTAAGTACCTTCTTGAAGCAGTCTCTTGAGCCCTCCCCCCAAAAAAACCGTTTTGAAAATGTGGGAGCCTTTTGAAATGGTGGGGGGATTCACCCGGGGAGGGACTGGTGGAATCTGGAGAATCCTCTCTTACGTGCTGTCGCAGGCAGCCGCTAGAAGAAGAAGAAGAAGAAGAAGAAGAAGAAGAAGAAGAGATTGGATTTATACCCTGCCCTTCACTACCCAAAGGTGTCTCAGAGCGGCTTACAAACTCCTTTCCCTCCCCCTCCCCACAACAGACACCCTGTGGGGTGGGTGGGGCTGAGAGAACTCTTGACAGAAACTGCTCTTTTTCAAGGACAGCTGTGCCAGAGCTTGTGACTGACCCAAGGTCACATCAGCAGGTGCAAGTGGAGGAGTGGGGAATCAAACCCGGTTCTCCCAGATTAGAGTCCGCGCACTTAACCACTACACCAAACTGGCTCTCAAGGTTGTCTAATGGCTGCCATCACTCTGGTATGGGTCTCCTTGGGAGGACCCAGAGCACCCACCCTACCCCTTTATACGCTCTCTTCCAGTAGGTTTCCTTTTATGCATGACCAAATGAGGCATGAGGACAGTGTTCCCTCTAAGCTGAATCAGTGTGAGCTAGCTCATAGTTATTTAGCCTCCGGCTCACACATTTTTGTCTTAGCTCAGGAAGGATGGCTCCAGAGCAAACTAATTTATGCAGTAGCCAAACTGCTCGCTCACAACTTTAATGCCAGCAGCTCACAAAGTAGAATTTTTGCTCACAAGCCTCCACGGCTTAGAGGGAACATTGATGAGGACCCAGGCAGAGTAACAAACTAGTTTTATTAAAGAGATTTAATAACAGCTGTAGTTCAAAAACATGTAGGAAAAATGAGCGCGGTAAAGGTAGGTGAATCGGTAAAACAATAAATCCTAACGCATCTGATTATGCAGTCCTAGCCCTTCTGTAGGTACCTGGCTGGTCTCAGACTGACTCACCCCTTTTTGGATGAGGGATCCCCCCTTCTGCAGCAGCCTCACCAGCCCTGCTCCCTGGGAGTGAATGCCCTCCCCCCCTTCGGGCAAGGACTTTTATTCCTTCTTCCCTGGCACCACCCTCTACTCCTTTGCTGGTGGAATTTTCCCCTCCAGAATCCCCTGTTAGCCAATCACAGGGTCCAGGGGGAACCTGGGAAAGGTAGGCCCCGATAGCTACTCCAATACAGGCTTCCCTGGAGCCACTAGGTTTCCCTAGAGCCTGTAGGCCGCTGCTGCACCACTATAGGCCCATGATCATGACACACGCACAAAGGCACGTTTTAGTCATGCTAGGGCACGATCGGGACTGTCATGGTATCAAGGGGGCCAAGGGTGTGGCTGTCGGCAACTAGTAACCTTTTCCATTCTGGATTGTGTGAGGGACCCAGTGAAAAGATGGACATGGAGACAGGAACACAAAACAATCGCCACCATTTATCACCCCCACACACCCTGGGCACAGGCCTGTAGCTACAGTGGGGCATTTCAGGGTCTGGCCCCCTGACTTCCTGCCAAGGCCTCCGACTTCCATCCAGCCCCCTACCCCCCTGGCTCTCTGAGCCACCCAGAGGACTCCCAACTCTCTGGGCCACCTGGAGGACTCCTCACCACCGCCCCTTCCCCAAGCGTGGCTTGCTTCCCCATGTAGGCAAGCAGAGTGCAAAAGCTGCAAAAGTGAGTTTTTAAAATTTTATTTAAATTTTATTTTTTTATTTTGTGGACGCCGTGGGGCGCCCAGGCAAGCCAAGGGATGGCATGGGGTGTGGCCTAATATGCTAATGAGTTCCTGCTGGGCTTTTTCTACAAAAAAAGCCCTGATAAAAACTTTTTGCAATATAGCTCAGGAAATTCTGACATATTCAAGAAAAAGTCCAACATCCTCTATGAGCACCCGGTTTTCTACTCATTTCAACAACCTGCCTCAGGAGTAGTAACCTTTTCCATGTGTTATGTTAGAAGGTGTCAGCCTCTTGATACAGTTTAACTACTTCTTTTGCTTCCTTCAAATAGTAGCAGCATTAACTTCTTTTTTTCCTTTCTTCACATTTATTGCAGCCAGACTTCTTTTTCAGATTATCTTCCAGTTCCATTTCAAGTATTTGTACTAGGAGCGAGCCAGTTAATAAATGTCTTAATAGTAGCAACCAGTCCTCTTTTTTAAATCTGGCTAAAAGCCTCCTTATTTCAGATTGGCTGGGAAATGCTCTCTATCTCACGTTGCTGGCTCAGTTGCTCTCCAGTAAAATGACGTCTGTGGCTTCTTTTATTGAACCAATCCATCTCATCTTGAGTCTTCCTCTTTTTCTCTTGGCCTTCCACTTTTTCTGGCATTATTGTCGTTTCCAATTATTCTTGTTTTCTCATAATGTGACCAAAGTACAGTAGCCTCAGTTTAGTCGTTTTAGTTTCTAAGGAGAGTTTAGGCTTGATTTGGTCTAGAACCCACTTATTTATCTCTTTGATAGTCCACAATATCTGTAAAACTCTCCCCCAACACCACATTTCAAAAGAATCAACCTTTTTCCTGTCGGCTTTTTTCATTGTCCAGCTTCCACATTTGTATACTTTTAAGAGTTTTATCAGTCATCCATTGAGGCTTTTCATTTCATTTGAGACCCTACCCGTGATAAAAATTATTTTTTAAAAATAATTGTGGATGCGTATAAAAATATTGCAAAACTTATCAAGCGTCCAAAACCTAACAGGTGTTAAGTTTGATCCCTCCTGCTTCCCCCCCACCCCGCGCCCCAATTGGCCCTGAATCTGAACAAGCTTTGTGTGTTGTTCTTAGTCGTTGAAATGTTGAGAAAACTTAAGCTTCAGTGAGAACATAATTCTTCTGAGTTGATCTAGTGGCAAGTGCTTCCAACCAGTGATGGGAGCAGGTGTAATGGATGACTTTAATGCATGCTTTGGAAACTGATGAGCAAGTAAATGTCATAAATCCATCCAAGTCTTTCTGTTTAATCCCCCCCCCCCAAAAAAAATGAAACAACAATTGTACGTGAGCAGATGGAACATAGACCAGGGCTCAGTGTACCTAAATATATTCCATGACAATAAACAGAATAAGAAGTCTGAGTTCCAGAAATCTCAAATTGTACTCAAACCATCTTCTTGTATGTTTGCAATTTAATATTCTTAAACTGTATGACACTCAAAGTAACATTCCCTTCATTTCCTCTCCAATTTTTTTAGTATACAACAAATAAAATTGCACTGTCTTAACTATTTTGGGTCCACTTAGGTCCCCCAGTCCTGCTCTAGTTGTATTTGAAAAAGGATTGTGTCAGAAGGTAGGTAGAGATGTGCATCTGAATGTGTATTTAAATCAGGGGTCATTTGGGGGGGACGCGGGGGGACGCCATCCCCCCGGGTGAGGTGCGGGAGGGCGGGGCCTGGAGCTCCCTGCTGGTGCCCGCTGGAGGTCGCCGCCAGCTGTGGGGAGGACACACTTCCGGTGATGTCAGGGGGTGTGGCATATGCTAATGAGTTATGCTAATGAGTCCCCCTAGCTCTTTTTCTACGAAATGACCCCTGATTTAAATGCACATTATATGAAAAACAATGCCAAGAAGCTGCAAAGCATCCATGCCCAGATATGCATTTGAGTTTGCAGTTGGAACAAATATGCAGTTTATACCTATAGTTTCTGATCTAACAAATGTGTGCATCTCCTTAGCTGGTGAGGAAAGTGACACTATCAGTTCTCCTAGGAGACAGCGGCAAAGACCAAACTGCCCGTGTTCTGTACTAGAAAGCAAAATCAAATTCTGCATATTGGCTACAATTTCACAAATCTACACTCCTGCTTGCTGGCTTACTTTGCATAATCTATTCTTATTCCAAAAGCATAGGTTATAAAATTTCAGTTTGATGATAATGGAGATTTTTTTGCTGAAAAAAATGAAACAAGAAAAGAAAATGGAAGGTAGCAATAGCTGTATGGGCAGGCACCGGTGAAAAACAGGCATAAACTGGGCTTCATGCACTTTTTAAAAACGTTAACAAAATCTAAATAAACATTTAAAAATATTTTGTGCTTTTAAAAAAACAACTCGTAGTTTTGCATGAAGAGATGCTAAATTGTCCAAACTAAATAAAGTATACAGATTAAACATCCATGTATCTATTTCTCTTGTGCTATTTATTGTGATTGTGCTTATCGTAAAAGGGAGCTTCTACACCCTTTTAGAAGCCCTGTCTGACTGCCGGAAACTCTGTAGGCATATATGGTATCTGTTCTGTTATCTCGATTTTGAATTTAATTTTTTTAAAAAAAGGAGTTTAGCAGGACACTGAATCTTGTGTCCATTCCAGATTAACCCCAGTCCTCTAACTTGTATCCTGCTACTCTGGTCAGCCCAACCTGAAGCCTTTCTCTGGCTTGATTAGTCCTACTACGTTGGAAGAGCCTCTTCTGTGAGAGGGAGAGCCTGTTCTGCTGGAGTCAGTCTCCCTGCCTTGAAGGAAAGTTTCAATCTTGGCTGAGTGGAATGGTAGGCTATAAGCCACTGTCCTAAGGGGCTGGAACCACACACAACTTTCTATAAGTTGAGATAATGACTTTTGGTTTGTGTTCTAGGTTGCAATCCCTGGGAGTAAGCCCACTGAATCAAAGGGGACTTGCTTCTGAGTAGACCTGCTTAGGATTGTTTGCTAAATGCACTGTGGGTCATACATTCATAAACCTGTAGAGAAGAAAGGGGCACGAAGGCCCTCTGGTATCTAGCAATAGGCTGGGGTTTATAAAGAAGCAGGACTTTTGCTCCTGTGCTCCAGTGCAAACATTTTGTGATCGATCAGCACAGAGAACCCAGAGAACGTTTTGCTACTATTACAGAACTAGAATTACCAAAACTGAGTTTACACTGGCGGATTGCCTGTGGTTTAGTTGTGGATATATCTTTACTGCTGTAGAGTTCATAGTTATCCAGTGTTACTTCAGTGCTAGGCTAGCTTATGGCTTCAGCTGTAATTTATTAACTCCTTTTCCCTGGGATGCCAGAAGGAAGCAGTTGGAACTCTTCTGGTATAGCACTTCAGTTCTCCTGGGCATAAATAGTTGGCTAGAGTGCCTTCCCCCCTTATTTCATTGTAACAGAATGTGAGGTATTTACTCGCTTTCTTCTTCTTTGGGGAAAAGCAAAGAGCACAGCAGTAGCTTAATTCCCCACTGTAGTCGCTGTAGAAGCAGGGCAGAAATCAAGTACTTTTAAAACTGAAGTTAATGTGAAAGTAAAGCATCTCTGTTAGTTGGGCAAGAATCACTTTTAAAGTTTACAATAATAATAAACCTTTGGTTGTGGTGGCCCACCTATGAAACACTCCCCTCTCAGCGTTTTGCTTTGGGATGAAGTGTCTGCATTTTGAGTGCCAGTGGAAAAACTTTGCCATTTCCCAGGGCTTTCAGTTGAGTGTAGGATTTTTTGGCTCCCCCCCCCCTTCAGTATTACTGGCTGGAATGTCTTGTACTTGACTTTTATATGACCTGCCTATTTATTTGTGGTTTTTAAAATCTCCACCAGTTAATGAATTGCAGTTCTTTTACATTATTGTCTTAAATAGCTGTTTTTGAAGACTCTTCTCAGTGTTCTCGCTGGCTTCAACATTTTTATTTTTGTGTGCGTTCACTGTGCTTTGTTGTATTTTAGCACCTCCACCCTTTTGTGAGCAAGCCACCCCGAGAACTTATTTGGTTAAGAGGTGAAATACATTTTTAAAATAAATAGTTTACCCAAACAAAATCCAATCTGTTCGGCTCCCAAAAGGTTTTATTCTGGCATCCAGGAGGCGAGCTTATCTAACAGGTGCCTTGCACAAAGCTTGACCTCTATTGAAAGTAAACTGATTGGGCGAGGATTTCTGGGAGAATTAGGATCGCCTTTTTTGAAGATCGGTACTACAGTGGCCAGGGGTCGTTTCGTAGAAAAAGAGCTAGGGGAACTCATTAGCATAACTCATTAGCATATGCCACACCCCCTGACATCACTGGAAGTGTGTCATAAGGCCACACCCCCTGGCCGGCGGGAGTGCAAGGAAGCCCCGCGAAGGCCCTCCCTGGCCCCGGGCAGGCAGGGGTGGGGAGAGGCAGGGAGGAAGCAACTTACCCTCCTCCCTCTTCTCCTGCCTCCTCCTGGTTGAATGAGGGCCGGAAGCGGGGCGGCCGGAAGCAGGGGCGGGGCTTCGTCATCTGCCCCACCCCCGTACCTCACCCGGGGGTACTGCGATCCCCCGCGATCCCCCCCGAAATGACCTCTGACAGTGGCATTCGTGCACGTATCAGGCATGACCCCCGTTTTGTCTATTGAAGTAAAAAGGGTAGCCGGTGGGGAAGCCCACCAGCCTAGGTGATCTTTAAATAGTTCTGGGTGGGGTTGCCATGTCCGGGTTGGGAAATACCTTGGAGGCGGAGCCTGAGGAAGGTGGGGTGTGGGGAGGAGAGGGATTTCAATGGGGTAGAATGCCATAGAGTCCATCTTCCAAAGTGGCCATTTTCTTCAGGGGAACTGATCTCTGTCACCTGGAGTTCAGTTGTAATAGCGGGAGATCTCCAGCTACCACCTGGAGGTTGGCAACCCTATCCAAAGCCCATGAACAGCTTCTCCATTGACCAACAGCACATCTATCTTGTCTGGACTCAGCTGCAGTTTATTGGCCCTCATCCAGCCCATTATCTTCTCCTACTTAGGACTTCCAGAGAGCCAGATCTTCATGAGTTTATTATCTAGGTGTCCACTGTCCATCTTTCTGTGACTGAAACACTTAGCTTTGACAAGGTCTGTCATCCAGTTGAGCTGCTGTGCTAGAAACTGCCTCACAGAGACTTGAGGCTGGCACCCCTAGTTCTGTGGAAGCCCAACAGGACCTGGCGCCTGCCCAACTTGTAATCTGTTCATTAGACATTTAATTCCATTTGGGCTAACTGGGGACCATTCAGGCAGATCTGAAGATAAATCCTCTTGCTGCTCTTGTTGAAATAATAGAAGGGTCGAGGAAAATATTTTAAAAGTGCTCTGTCCAAGTCTGAGCAGGTATAGAACGAATGAAGGATTGACTCCTATCCTTAAATGCCCCGCCAACCAAAACCCAGAACTGTTTACTATTCTTGGATAAAGACACATTAATTAATAAATCACAGCTCCTGATGTTTAGCTGTCTGTTCATATATGCTATGGTATTTTCCCCCTCCAGGAATCAGTTGTACTAGTTTTAACTGCTTTTTAAAAGCAGGGTACACATCACCTTGCGGGGCTGTGGTGGCTCAGTGGTTAAGACCGGAAGGTCAGTAGTTCAGCAGTTTGAGACTCGAGTGCCGCATGACGGAGTGAGCTCCCATCTCTGGTCCCAGCTCCTGCCAGCCTAGCAGTTCGAAAGCAAGAAATTGCAAGTAGATAAATAGGTACCGCTTTGGTGGGAAGGTAACAGCATTCTGTGCACCTCGGCATCTAGTCATGCCGGCCACATGACCATGGAAATGTCTTTGGACACTGCTGGCTCTTCAGCTTGGAAACAGAGATGAGCACTGCACCCTAGAGTCGGGATTCGACTGGCTTTCAAGCAAGGGAAACCTTTACCTTTACACATCACCTTGAACATTTTTGAGTTGAAAGGCAACTCAGAAATGTTTTAAATAAATAATAATTAGCTATCTATGGTAAAATATTCCACAAGGCTGTGAATGCTGATGTCATCTAATAATGAAGACGGGAGCAATTCTTTTGGATGACATTGTTCTGTTGACCAAGGTGAATTTTGAGGGATTTTCCTGCCAGAGTAAGCCAAATAGTGTCAGAAGGAGACCACAGTCACAAGTATGAGATGACCAGACCGAAGTGCTCCCAGAATAGATTGCTCCACCCAGGGGTCATTTCGTAGAAAAAGAGGTGCAGGAGCTCATTAGCATAACTTATTAGCATAACTTATTTGCATATGCCACACCCCCTGACATCACCGGAAGTGTGTCAGAAGGCAATGCCCACCGCTCAGGCGCCACTGGATTGTTTTGGATTGCTAGCTATTGGGGGGGGGGACATGCAGATCTGCCCTTGCAGAGGAGGGGAGAGCTTGTACCTGAAGGCGGGCCGGAGGGGGGTGCTCTGCAACTTACCTGGCTGCTTCTTGCTCTGACTGAGGGCTGCTGGGAGCAGGGGGTGGGGCTTGTTGCATGTGCCCCACCCCCTGGGCTCTTTACTGCTGGAGCGTCGCTCCTGTGCGCTCTGGCAGGAAATGACCCCTGGCTCCACCTCACGTAAGCAAATAAATGCAGCGGAAAGCAGCATAAATCTTAATATTGTGCACACAGTACCATACCTTGGACCACTCCGTCTCCAGGAAATGTATACAATGGCCCAAAGTAATCCCAGACATCTCCGACTCCAGCTGTCCACAGAATGAGGTCATAATTTGTCTGTTTGAGATTTCAAGAAGATCTTTTTTATTCTTGGAGTCAGTTATTCCAAGGCATTACAAACTCCATTTTTATAATCGGGTGGTGGTGGTGGGGTGGGGGATGACAACATAGCTAAGCAAAGAAAAGTTGATACTTTGTGGTGGAACAGTAATAATTCAAATGGATAAATGGTCTGTCTCCATTTTTCCCCCCTTCAGTGAAATATGAAGAATTGTACTGTTTTTCTTTCAACCCCAAATTAAACAAAGAAGAACGAGAACAAGGCTGGAAGTTGATCAACCTAAAAGAAGAATATCATCGGATGGGGGTCCCAAATAATGATTGGCAGCTCAGTGATGTCAACAGAGATTACCGAGTGAGTCACTGCTCTTGAAAGTGTGGTCTGTGGGCCAAATAATATGTTACAGCAGTGATACTCAACATGGCACTTGTGGGCACCAGGGTTCCCACTGATGTGGTTCCTGATACTCACTTAGTTCTCCTGCAAAGCAAAGAACTAATGCTGACTTTTGTTCACCTCATTGGAACTGTAGGAACTTCAGAAGACACCCCCCCCCAGGCATCAACTTTGGGTCTCCTGGGAGCACCCATTTGGAAATAGCTGCCCCCACCATAGGAAGATGCTAGGTTTAAATCTCCCAACATTTTGTAACTGACCTCAAAGACAACCATTTGGTGTCTAGTATTGCTTCCCATGGCAGCCATTTTGTGGCTGTGCCTGCTATCCTTTTTCAAAATTCCAAAAGTGCACACATACGGAACAAGGTTGAGGGACTCTGTGTTACAGAGACTGTGTGTTCTGTGCCTTGTCCCTCCTAACTGACATGTAGTTAAAGAAGTTTTATGATGTGGTTTCATTGTGCTGAAGGTTCTTCTTCAAACTGCGACCTTGTGCTTTGTAGAAATCTGTAACCAGAATTTGTGGCTATAAGCTTTCTAACCAGGGCATTTTTGTTCAATTTGGCTGTCAGCTACAAAGCACAAGGTCACAGTTAGAAGAAGAAGATTTTGAAACGGGAAATTAGCTGGCATTCCGTCACTCCTGTGTTTTTTGTGCATTACTGTTAAAGTTTTTGTTTATTGTTCACTGCTGTTTTTTGAGCATTGCAATTTGTGTCTCTGTACAATGCTCTGCTTTCATGTACTATAATTCATACTTCTGCCTTATGTGGTGTTTATTACTCATGTTAATGATGTATACCATATATTGGAAAATTTTGTAGTCATTAGTACATTTTACATTCACATTTTTGCTTTTTTATATGGTCATTATTTACTATTTGCTTTATAAAAATCCTAGAAGGTGGCCACATTCTCTTCTTAATTCTTGAACAACTTTTACTATCCAGTCAGAAGTCTACCTATATGTTTAGGAATGCTAAACAAAGTTTAGCTGAATTGTTGTTCTTTGACTATGAGGATCTATATTTGTTGGTAAGAAGGAGTGTGTTTTCAGAATATTCTCTGCTGTTTTTAATTCAGCCTTCCTGATAATTTGAGAAGTGCTCTGAAATAATCTATTACTAACCCATTAGAGGGTGCCCTAAAATATAATTGGTTTGTTAAAGCAATGCCTCAGTTAAGACAGTCTTTTGTGTTTCTGCTTTTGGACAGGTATGTGACTCATACCCCACTGAAGTGTATGTGCCCAAATCTGCCACTGCCCATATCATTGTGGGAAGCTCTAAATTCCGGAGTAGGAGGCGTTTCCCAGCACTCTCCTACTACTACAAGACCAATAATGTAAGTGCGAAATTGGATTTGGGGTAAATTAATTTTTGTCTGATTTTTAAATATTTTTTTTTAGAATGTGTGATGTGTGAAAACATTTCCCATGGCTGCTATTAAACTTTCAAAATTAGATTTCACTTGTCATATAGTAAAATTACCATTACCACCAACTAAGGTACTACATGCATTAGTGAGAGAGGAGGATAAGTAGGAGTATCTCTTCTAAAACGGAGGCTGGGATCCACAGGTTTTTGTAAGTACTTATGCTAAAAAAAATTTTTTTTTTAAAGAATACTGGGTTGGAACCTACAGTAAATTTCTGCTAATGGAAGTGGTTCAGTTTTTGCCTGCCATGCCGTAGACTTCTTGATTTGCTCCTCATGCTGTTGGTGGTGGTTCCCTGTGCCCTAAGGAGCAGTATTTCCGGAATCATTTTGGTCTGCAGGAGGAGAGAGAAGGCAAGGAGCTGCCATTCTCTTGATGGACACGCCTCCCATTAGTGGAGATCTGCTGGGAGATCCAAGCCCTGCTATCATTAACCAGGAGATATCTTTTCAACTGATTCATGCAACTGACCAAACATTGGCGCTCTGCTTTCAGGGTGGCTACATAGTGCTCCAGTCTTGCAGTTAGTGGGTCAGTCCAAGTGTTTGCCATGAGAATGAGCTGCAGTTTGGGCTACTGTCAACTGGGAGGTTTACAGAGATGTTCAACACAGCAGCTCGTGCTTGGAACAATTAATTCCCATGGTCAATTTGCTATACACTGTATAAAGTCCAGGCTAGCACAACCAACTGGGGATTGTATCCGCTGGTCTTGTTGTTGTGGTTGTTGTTCAGTCGCACAGTCGAGTCCGACTCTTCACGACCCCATGGACCAGCTCCCGCCAGGCCCTCCTGTCTTCCGCCGTCCTCTGAAGTTGGCTCAATTTCATGTTCGTTGCATCGATGACACTGTCTAACCATCTCATCCTTTGCCGTCCCCGTCTTCTTTGACCTTCAATCTTTCCCAGCATCAGGGTCTTCTCCTGTAAGGAAATCAGGAGTGAACCAGTAGGCCTCTGGCTGGAAGCCCATTACACTACTGGATCTATGGTAAAGTGGGCAGTTAATAGTTTTACCCCACGCATGGGAAGCCTGAGCCACTTCCCAATAAAGATGATTGTTTTCAAACCATTGGTTCAGATTAGTCCCACAAACTAGAATCAATGGTGTCTACAGTTTAGAAGAACAGTGTGACTGAGGTGATAGTTAAGAGTGTTGGCTGCCCTCTAGTTTTGAAGAGAGGCCGTATTCTGAATTCAGCAGGGGCTAAAAGAAAGGGTCCATGAAGTCAGTTGTTGTTGGTGAGTGCAGCTTCTTATCTGGCTCCCAGCACAGCGTGTACAGTTCCTGCCCTTCTCCAAAGCCTAGTGGGTTGCAGAGGCTCTTCCCGATGTCGGCTTCACTCAGAAACAAGTAAGGCTTCTCCTTGGTTTCTGAATATTTCTGAAGTTCATTGTAATCAGGAAAAGCCATCCTTCCCCTGGTGACATACCCTTCTCCCACAGTTAAACTGGGCCTGAAGCTTGGGATGATGTCAGACGTGACCCTGCCTTTCCCTTGGGACAGGGAAATAAGGCCCTGCCTAGAACAGCTTGCAGTTGGTTATCAACATCAGCCAAAATTTGTGGTCCCTTAGCTGAAACGCCAGCATCTTAGACTCTATCCCAGGGGTGTCAAACATAAGCCCCAGGTGCCGGAATCAGCCCTTCCAAAGCTTTTATGTGGCCTGTGAGCAACTAGTGCAAGGCAGGGAACAGGAGATTGCTGGGGGGGGGGGGGGGTATGGGCAGAGCCACTCTGATTGTGGCTTCAGCATGGTGGCACAACCTCATCTGCGGTAGTCAAGCAGTGTGGGAGCATCTGCCCAGTGCTGCACCACTGGCTCTCCCGTCCGCCTGTATAGGTTTTCCTTTGCACCGCTCTCCCAGCCCATGAGGCTTTGCAGTGAGGATACAAAAACTTGGAGCTTCCGGTTTATGGGGACATGCTGGCGGACGCATTTCCCGGACCTCCTGGGGATGTGATCTGCAAACCAGTGGAAAGGGGGGG